ACAGAGCTATTTATTTAGGGGATTTATTTACCGCTACAAAGCGAACCAACAAAAGCGCGAAGAAGCACCGAATGACAAGTAGTTTCAAAGTATAAGTTGACGAACACAGCCACGAGTTTCTTCACCAACGCAACGAGAACTTTCTCAGTGCTTGATCTGCACATTGCAGAAGGTAGTAAACTCAATGGATGGCTTAAAATGGAGTCTGGAAAATAAGTCTAAACGACTAAAACCCATACACCTATTGCTAAACCATATCTCGATAAAGAGAAGGGCCCAAATTTAAGAAATGAGACCTCACAATCTACTAAGACATATTTCTCGATGGGGTCTTTTTTCACAAGTTGAAAAGGTTTTCCAAGGGAGATATAAATGCTTTTTTAAAACAAATCAAGCTATATTGAGTCGCTAATATATATACTACTTCCGGAGGCAGTAGCAGTTGTTGGCACACATAAATTTCACGAATCAGTCAGAAAGTGAATTCTGAAAGTAAGTGAACAAAAAGCCCTCAAATCACTCATAACTGTTCAGACATGAAGTTTCACTATACAAATAATTCTGGCCTACTAAATAGAGGTGACTGAAAACTTAATGGATATGGCAAATTATGATATCATTCCCACCTCACAAATGCGGGTAATGTCAGAATAATAAAACGGAAAAATTCAGTTCTTAATTATTTGACTTCGTAAGACCGACAAACTATACTGTATTGAGAGTGGTGTAATCCTTTGCATTCGGAAGCAAATTGGCCGTACTAGCTGTTTAGATGGTGGCACATAACGTAGAAGCGTGTGAATTGACGCGACGTTGACTGAAATGCGAAGCCATCAATCCGTTTTAGTATGCCGTTATGCTGAACGTGCAGAAGATCAAATATTCTTAAATAACCTTTCAGCCCTGATTAAGAAGTTGAGGAAGCTATATGGCAGGAGTTTTTAATGCATCATCCGTAAACTGGTCTGACTGGAAAACAATATCACTAAAAATATAATTTTTGTCACGTATGGATTACAACCTCATTCCTCTGTCTTCGACTTGGTCCTCACTCCAGGTGATGATTTTACTCAAGTAAGACACATCCCATCAATAAAAAAGTGATAATGAGACTATCTTATTCAAGATCATTGATGCAGTGGTTTGTCAAGGGGATAAATCAACACTTAGAAAGGAAATATGAGGACGGTCAACTATACAACCTTTACTGAAGACTGGAATGAATCGGTGGAAAAGGAATGGAGTTAATTCTGACAATTAAACAATTAGGTATGTTCAATATTTATACGCGGGACAGTTCTAATGAAGAAACATGACCATCCTTGAATAGACATGAAGATTTGACGTTTAATGAGACAAAAGAAAAACAGCAGTGGAACAGAATCAATGTCATCAATTCAGCTATTCATTGTGGAATTTGACTTAAACAACATACTAAGGGCACCAAGCCTCTTAGATAGGGAAAAACCAACAGGACTGTATGAGTTTAGTCCTAACGTCATGAGATGCATCGCATGATATGTTGTTATCGCTTCTACTATAATATCTAGGATATCAATCAGAGTTGATTAACTGCCACATATTAGACTTCTTTGGAATTTCTTGATCTCTACTATAGTGTATCAGTAACTTTTTGGTAGGTTGTCAACAGGAAGTAAGGACAAATTTCAAATGTTTCTCGTGAAAACCAGTACTTAGTGGAAAACTGCAAGGCTGTTACAAGTCATTTACTTTATATTCTATACATAACTAAACACCACAGCGGTTTTAGCTTTATGCTGATGCCAATATTTAGCGAGAAGTAAAGAGAGGTGCAGCTACGTATACATTTTAGGTCGACTTGGGTGTTCTGATCGGCTGAACTTAAATGCCGATGATCCTTATCATCAGGTCCATTTGCGCTTGTATGTAAATCCGTACTACAAAAGGAAATAATTACGGCATTGGGTAAGCATCAGTACCCAGTACAACAATGATCCAATTGTGAGATATGACTCTAAGACCACAAGTGACTGTAGTGCAGTTTCATTTATGAAGTTGAACACATGCGTGTCCATCAGTGTGCACATCACTGGAGAGATCGAGACTAGAAAACTGTGTTCAGGCTGAAATCCCCTGTTTAAAAGAAGAGTTGGATATCTTGGAAAAAATAAAGCGAGCGGATACCTGTCTTATCCCAGAATTTTATGGTTTACTTTATACAGGATTGCTTGATAGGCCAGACCTCTCTAATTTGTCCTGCTTCAGATTAAGAGGTGATCTAAACTTGATGTAAAGAACTGTTAGAAATGATTTAGGACCTAAAATATCTTCTCTTTTTCCTCCCACAAGATCAGTACAACCCAGGAGACATAATAGTCAAGTTCAAAAACCAAGAACAAACAGAATACACGTAGCATAAATGTTATCAAACCGAGTTATCAATTCTTGGTGTCCGCACACTTGTTTGTCTCATTTAAGAGACGTTTATACATTCACATAAGTTTACTACAAAAACCCACCACAGACCGTCTGCCTTCTGTCCTCAGTACGTGCATATGAACCCGAATATATTGTAGGAGTGACAGAAACGTGGTTAGTCCATGACTTAGACATTACTCCAGAATTATCCGGATACCATTACCTAAGGAGTGATAGACATAGATGTAGAAAAGGAGGTGGCGTCTTTTTATATATACCCAATAATATAAATATCCGCTCCTCTGCTAGCGAATCTCATGACAACGGTACTTGTGAAGTCATTAGCTGTAGATTGGTTATCGGATGTAGTACATTTATGCTCGGTGTCATCTCTCTCAGCCCAATCTGCTTAGCTGATGACTTTATGTTAGAGCACATTCATCTTTGGAGTACCAATGCCAGATGCTTGATAATAGGGGACTTTAATGCACCTAATATTAGTTAGACTGAGATGACCACAGAAGGATCTATAAACTCCTTTGATAGTAGGTTCCTGATAGCAATAATGGAGCACGCGTTAGTGCAGCGTGTGTCTAAACGCACACGTTTTGGTGCTAACCAAGGTTCTTCTCTGTTGAACTTGGTGATCACTCATGAGATGAGGATATTTTTCGACCTAAATATTCTTCCATCATTGGTGAACAGCGATCATGCTGTTTTATCATTCACGTTTAGGACTAGAGACACGTTATACGATCAGGTTACACCCCGGCCAAATGTATGGAAATCTAACATATCAGCCATTCAGGTATGCGCTGCTAAGACAGATTGGTTTGTAGATACTAGCTTATCAGTTGAAGAAGCATAGTCTGTATTTAAAGGCAAGTTTAGTTTAGTTACGTCCTCGTTCATACCACACTTGGTACCGCGGAGACCGAATAACAGTCCACTATGGGTAACTAAACCAGTCAAAAAACTTCTTAGAATAAGGAAGAAGCACCGGAATATGTTCATCTCTACTGGCTTAGAATAATACAGATCCAGTTATTGTAAGATTAGGAATGCCTGTAAAGCGTTAATAAGTAAGACTAGACGGTCATATGAAAAACAATCTGAGGCAATCCAGACTGCTCAGAGATCGGAAAGATCGGAATATTCTTATGGATGTGGTCTTAATAGATCTAAGTAAGGCCTCCGATAAGGTCTCCCATTCTGGTCTTAAATTCAAGCCGCAACGTTTTGGAATCCATTATACAGTAGTAGATTGGATAAGTAACTTTCTGCATGACAGGAGACAAATGGTAAAGGTTAGGATGATCTTAGCTCATTGGTGGCATGGTTGGACAGGTGGTCACTATAAGTAAATCCCAATAAGAGTGTGGTGATGCAATTCAATAACTATGATGAATTGTATCACTATACAGTATGTGGATTCGTGCTACCCAAAGTAAGAAACTATGAAGATTTACGAGTCATATTAAGCAGTGATCTCAAAACCACTAGTCACTGTAAGGCTGTTGCTGTGAAGGGCTACAGGATATTATGGTCTATTCGTAGGTCTTTCCAGTATTTAGATGATGGAAAGTTTAGATTATTATACCCGATTTACGTGAGGCCACATTTGGAATATGGGATTCAAGCAGCAAGTCCTTGTTTCAAGTATGAAACAGATATGCTGGAAAGAGTCCAACGACGAGGTACTAAGATGGTAAAAGGTCTACCTGCCCTATCTTATGGAGACAAACTGAGACACCTTAACTTGTTTCCGTTATCTTACCGTCGAATACGAGGTGATCTAATATTGGCTTATCATATACTGAACGATGACCTTGGTATTAACATGTCTTATCTTTTACTTCCGCCTAGGACTGATCATTCGAGAAGACATTCGAAGGAAGTTCAAGAACCAAGATCAAACCGTTTAAGTCTGAAGTTTCGTTTTTCTCATCGAGTAGTGAATTACTGGAATTCTCTACCGAAACACATTATGTAAGCACCTTCTGTTGATATATTCAAAACAATATTATACCTTCACAGTGGGGGGGGAGTCCGCTCCTCCTCTCGAAATGCTCTCACATGGCCACGCCTATACAGCCCCTGCAGGGGAAGTCATACTCACTGCGTTCTCGTGGCGGGTGTGTTGTTTACTAAAATGAGAGGACGAAAAGCGAATGTCCGGCGCTATAACCGGACCCCAAACCAATGGTGCACACGGGCTCCAGTATCCTGAAGGAACAAATGGCGTATGAACCAAACGTTGGTCACCGGCTACCATGGGACTACATCTCCTTACGATGCTCCACTGCCTTATGGATCAGACCCTTAGGTCGAAGGCTCGGGGTGTGGTCGCCTAAGAAAACCACCTGCTTCGGTTTGGGCACCCGGGCAGTATCACAGCTCTCACACATACCAAATGAGATCTGTGTGGCACATATGTATTTGGTGCCTTCTTGTACCGATATCTATGTGTTCAAATAAAATAAAATAATACCTTCACAGTACTACAAACTGCAAAGATTAATATAGGCCGATAGACCTCCTATTCTTATTACTGAAGACTGAAGAAACTGGATATTTAAGGTCATATTTCGACCTACAACGTCTAAAGGTCGGGTTAAGTGGATATTCGAATGCGCTCATTAAGCTTGGTCGATCGTGTATTTTTTAAAGATATCTATACCAGCAACTCACGTAATCTCTGCTTATACGATGTGGACAATGATGGGGTAATCTATGGTATTATTATATCTTACTTTTATTCCTAACTGTGAATACGCTTATGTTTCACAAGGTTCCCAATCAACCAATAAACGGGAAATAAAGGCGAAAAATAGGAGAAAATGCGTTGGAAAATAAAGAGGAAACGCGCCAAAATGTCTGCTTTTTCGCCTGTCCGGGAAAAATAATGCGAATTTTCCCCTTTTTGTCTCTCTGTCTCTCAAATGTGTCTGAATTGTCTACTTTTCGCCTAAATAAACCTGAAATTTCTATTTTTGCTCCAACCTTTAAAACACTATTGGCATAACCCCGAAGATCTCCTATGTTCGCCTTGGTTACCACAACAAACCACACTAAAACTCCAATCCACGGGAAAAATGGTATAGGTTTAAGTAAATTTATTGGAAAGGAAAACTGTATTATTACACAACATTATAGCGAAAGCTTGAGCATCAATCGTTATGCATTTTCATTGTAATTGCCAATTCATTGTTATTTGGTAAGATCTGCAAAAGAAGAAACAAGTGGTGTATTATTAATAAGGCATGTGTATTTAATTGCAAGTTTGCTGAAAATCAAACACATTTTCTCAACACTTAAATAGTTTCCCATGTAAGTAAGAAAGTAAACTCATTTACAAAGTAATCTTTATTGAAAAAGAAGTTGAACATAAAAACCCTCCACGGATCAATTATTAAGTTATAGTTCCACTGTTGCATACTTTTATGTGAATGTATTTTGTTTCGTTTGTGCTTAATTCATGATCATAAACCATTTCATTACCTCATGTTATGTTTAGCCTGCTAACAAACAATACGTCATTGTTGACGTTCCTAGCAAGAAACAACTTATGATAGCAGCCAAGCATTTTCCCCTTTATTGGTTGATTGGGATTAAGTTTATTTAAATGGGACTGTGGAATATTCTACACATCTTTCGAATTTTTAAGGTTTAAACTCACCCCTCAGCAACCGGACAGTTTTGTTTTACCAATAACCAAAAAAATCAGTTGAAGTGGAATCCATTACAGATTCGCATCTGTCGGGTCTTCAAACTTTTAATCAACAGTGAAACTCAAGAAAATTGAGGTAGTGGTATCAGTGATGATCACAGTCAAACATAACGAAGAGTAGACGAAAAAGGGAAAGAGTGTACGGAACAGCATCAAAACTCATGGTCTATGGGAAGACAAATAACGGCTACATTTGCTCCATTGAGACTACTTATCAGTTACTTCATGGAAAGTCCTGGACTATTTATCACACTTATCATTTTCTTTACTTTGGCCTAAAGGTTTGTGCCTACCAACACAGGTTACGTTAGCCTTTAGTGACTATTTGAACTGATTTTACCTTTAGATTCCGCCCTCACTAGTACTGTTTATCATAATTCTCTGCTTCTTACGCCTGTTACTCCCAATGAAGCATAGGCCGCCAACCAGCATTCTCCAACCCACTCTGTCCTGGGCCCTTATTTCCAGATCTGTCCGATTGTTGTTCATTTTTCCCATGTCTGTCTCCAATTTTTCGGCGTAATGTGTTGTTTGGTCTTCCCCTGCGTCTTTGGCCTTGAGGATTCCATGTGAGGGCTTGTCTTGTGACGCAGTTCGGTGCTTTCCTCAATGTGTGTCTTATCCACTTCCAGCGCTTCTTCCTGATTTCTTCTACTGGGATCTGATTTGTTCTCTCCCACAGTAGGTTGTTGCTAATAGTGTCCAGCCAGCGGATCTGAAGTATTTGGCGTAGACAACTGTTAATAAACACCTGTATCTTTTGGACGATGGATTTCATAGCTTTCCAGGTTTCCGCCCCATCATAATTCTCTAGGTAAAATCAAATATCACTGTAGACGCTTCATGCACATTTTTAGCACATGTCGCATCGGCCTGTATAGCAAATATCTCAGAACCACCAGCCGGAGCTAGGGTAAATCTCATCAATTGTTGTGGTAATGCCTTTCGTAGTTGTTGTGAAAACTCGGTTTCAAATATTACGTAACTGTCATCACATCCTAAATGGAGCTGTAGTCTAATGTCCTAACTATTAGACACTCATTATTCGGGTCAGAGGCTGCATTTCCTGTTGTTCAGTCTAATTTCCAGAAGCTAATGGTGCATCGATGCTACTCATATAACCCCTATTGCCCAGTTTATTATGTGGACGGATTTATCACCACTTATACGCGAGTGTGTATACAACATCCCTGTAAGAAAAATTTTTTTTTCTCATTTGCTTAGGATAATGAATTGATAATTGGCTCTTGGGATTCTGGACCCTTACTGGAAAATGGAGAAGCCAATGCAGCAAATAGTGAGGGTTCCGTCCACGTGTTAAAGTATAGGAAGGTATGGAAGGCATCTTATCATCTTGGCATGGTATGTTCGTCTTTTATACTTAAAAAGAGAATTTCGACTTTGTTTACAGGTTTCGTGTGTTACAGCAGGTAGTATATACAAACCCGATGAAGTTAGTGAGACCATTTTGATGGATTTATTTATTTGAATGAATTGTTTTCTAGACATGGATCATAGCTTTGTGCGCTGATTCACATTGCTATGCATTTGATGCTTGTGCTCTCGCTCCAGAATCTGTAAGTTATCATTTCTATATTTCATATTGATGCATTTATGACAAATAAATTGCTGTTTTCTTCAAAAAGCATGCTATTTCTGTAATAAGCTACTGTAAATGAAATAAATTCTTGTAAACAGTAATAGTTATTCGTCCTTGTACTAGGACTTCTCAGCAATGCATATCTATCACTTAACGATTCAACTCAGGAATTTCAGCTTAGATTCAGTTTTCTTCGTCTTTCGAATGAATTTTTCCACAGTTTGTTTCTGTACTCCATATGTCCTTCCACCTTGTGATTAAATCAGTTGTTGTATTTGAGTATCAACAAAACTCTTCAGTCGGTAGTAATCAGGATAAAAATTATAATTGATTGCATCTGACTGGAAACAGTTAGTAAACGGATAATAGATGATATGGTCTTCGACTAAAAGTAAAGTATGGAATACGTAGTAGGACACTGTTATTTCGAAACTTTTAGTGCCTCTTTTTCTGTCCCCGACAAAGTTCATTTTAATATCTCATTACTTAACACTACCGATAAATTTTATGTAGCTAAGTCTTGTACTGAGGACCGGTAGTATATCGTTAAGATCCTTTTCTACCTTGTTGATCTGTCATGCTGAGGCAGTAAACGGATCCAGAAAGTTCAGAGTTAGTCTCAACGTTTTGCAAAGGTTAAATATGCTACCTGGTCATCCGAACTGAAATGAATGATGCGAGTTTTGAACATATAAGTCAGTGGTCAATGAATATCAAATACTTAAGATCCTAGGCCATAGCTCTTTTATTTTATTTGAACACATAGATATTGGTACAAGGAGGCACCAAATATATATGCGCCACACAAATCTCATTTGATTTTTGTGAGGGCTGTGATACTGCCCATGTGCCCAAACCGAAGCAGGTGGTTTTCTTAGGCGACCACACCCCGAGCCTTCGACCTAAGGGTCTGATCCATAAGGCAGTGGAGCATCGTAAGGAGATGTAGTCCCATGGTAGCCGGTGAATAACAATTGGTTCATACGCCATTTGTTCCTTCAGGATACTGGAGCCCATGTACATCATTGGTTTGGAATGAGGGTTTTCCAACTCCCCTAGGTGGACTCTCCGTGTCCACCAACTCGGTTAAAGCGCCGGACATTCGCTTTTTGTCCTCTCAATTTCGTGAACAACACCCCTGCCGTGGGAAGACAGTGGGTAGGACCTCCCTGGCAGAGGCTATATACGCGTGGACATGTGAGAGCATTTGGAGAGGGAGAGCGGACTCTCCTCACTCTCGGCTGTACCAGGGCATTTGGGAACATCTAAAACATCATATCACACACCACTACATAATTAAATTAAGTATTCATGACGACCTTGTTAATAGTTAGTATATTTACCTCCATTGTGTGTTGTTTGATAATATAAGTATTTCATGTATCATTATGAAAATACTAATTTCTGTTTATGCAAACTCAATAGGTTTGAAATAACAAGCAGAACTTTATTCATAAATGTCTGTAATTTTTACACATCTATAGGAAAATATTTCAAGTAAATCTAAACAAAAAATTAACGCTCATGGTTCTTCAAAGGCTGATCAAACTGTCAAAGTAGAAATTGATACATTAAAAATGGTTCATCATCAAGAATTAGCTTACAATGCCAAAGATGTCTGTATATTTAATGAAGGTATGATTGATAGATTATGGAATAATATAAAAATGTATTTTTGAGTTCTTAACTTTTTAATTGTATTTTCTCTATGTTAAATTACTTGGTTTATGGATTTATTACTAGATTTTTGCCTCTGATTGTTGTAACATGGTTCAGTGATGGATAGGTTTAGTAATTTATATCGAAATGCCTTAGAAATACTGCTGGCATCTGCTGGGATCACCAGGTAAGTAATAGTGAGGTTAGACTCGGGGTATTAGGGAATGGTGGTAAAACAGTTAATGAGGTTGTAAATCTTCATCGACTGAGATGATTGGACCATATGTTGCATATGCCTGGATGCTGATTACCACGACGCGCAATGCTTATCGGTGTTGGGGATGGTTGGAAGAAAGTTAGGTGCGACAAAACCAAAACGTGGCATCAGTGCTTAAAGACAATAACTTCTAGTCTAAGCCATGTTGATAGATGCAGACTACTTGGTTGGGGTCCGCATAACTATCGTAACCAGTGGCTGGAGACTCTTAGTGACATGGCTCAGAATCGATCACAATCAAGTAGGTGTATACACTCTTTGTCTTCCCTTAAACTATGAGATTAAAATCGCTTCATATCTTTCTTTCTACGTACCAAATCTTTCTTCCTGCTCTATATCGTTATATGCAATCTTTCTTTTACATATTACTACCATTCAAGTAACTACTCCTATGTATTCGGTTTTCATCTTGCTGTGCTAATGAGATGTAACAACTTCGACCGATGCATATATGTTCTTGATCCTACGTTGTAGCTGACTGTTTGACTTATATTGAAATCCTCTTTTGGTGTATCTTATATATATAGCTTCAATTATGGAAGTTCTATTCGTTTCCTTCAAGGTCATGGAAATATTCCTCACAAGTGTCGCACAATGATCGAGAGTTTCTAGTGTCAAGATGGTGTTAATGAATTCGATTTTCACGTAAAAAAGTTCAAACAACTGGGTTGCAAATTAATGTTACACATAAAACCTAAGACCAAAATAAAAATGCTTGAAATCTAAATCTACTTTACTTACTATCAAGTATAGTAATTTAACGTCTTAATTTGCTACTGCTCTCTAGATTAAACATTCAGGTTAGCCAATAACGTATAAACGTCTAGCTTATCTAATTGGTTTGGTTTATGTTCCAATAAACATCACATAATTCACTATGTAAGTATAAAGCCCCCGAATGCCCTGGTACGGTCGAGAGTGGGGAGAGTCCTCTCTCCCTCTCGAAATGCTCTCGCATGGCCACGCGTATATAGCATCTGCCAGAGAAGTCCTACTCACTGCCTTCTCGTGGTGGGGGTGTTGTTTACGAAAATGAGAGGACGAAAAGCGAATGTCCAGCGCTTTAACCGGATCTCAAACCAATGGTGCACATGGGCTCCAGTATCCTGCGGGAACAAATGGCGTATGAACCAATCGTTGGTCACCGGCTACCATGGGACTGCATCTCCTTACGATGCTCCACTGCCTTGTGGGTCAGATGTGCAGGTCGAAGGCTCGGGATGTGGCCCCCTAAGAAAACTACCTGCTTCGGTTTGGGCACATGGGCAGTATCACAGCCCTCGCACAAATCAATTGAGATTTGTGTGGCGCATATGTATTTGTTGCCTCCTTGTATAAATGCTTATGTGTTAAAAATAAAATAAAATAATGTAAGTATAAAAGATTCATCGGTATTTGTGTTTGTATCTAAACAATAAAGATCTGTTAATTCATTTTGTTGATGCTCTTCAGAAATATTATGACCAAAAAATAATTAGATCTATTTACTCATTAATCTACAAAGATTTGTATTAAATAGATAAACCATATTGACAAATAATTCATATTCAAATGACAATGCTTGTCATAAGTCCAAACTGAAGGCAATCTATTCCGTAGTGACTTATTCAATTACCTAATTTGTTTATGACTCCGTGTCAAGTAATACTTTCCCATACAACGTAATTTTATACAAATCCAGTGTCATAATACGAAAGTTATTCAGTTTACCTCTAAAACCCAGTTGACCTACTTAGTTGTCATTTGTTAGTGGACTACTTGATTTCATGATATATTATTGTCCTCAAATACCCTGGTACGACCTAGAATGGGGAGAGTCCTTTCTTTCTTGAACTGCTCTCATATGGACACGCTTATACAGCCACTTTAAGGAAAGTCGTACTTACTTCTTTCAAGTGGTGGTGTTGCCTAACGAAATTAAAGTGGCGAAAAGCGAATACTCGGCGCTTTAACCGGATTGATAGACACGGAGAGTCGAACTAAGGGAAATGGGAAACCTTGATTCCAAATAGACGATAATAAAAAGAGATGATTTCAGTTTGTAGACTGACTGCTAGTTGCTGATTAATAACGGACTTAAAAATCGACACTTGGATTATTCAGAGGACGGATATAGGATTGAGTTCTCCCTGAGCAGTCATAATTCAATTTTTTCTATCCAGACTCTGTACAGACTTAATTGAAGTAGGAATAAGAGAAAAGGTAACGAAGACTTTTCCGCCAATTATTTATTTTATTTTAACACATAGATATTGGTACAAGGAGGCACCAAATACATATGCGCCACACAAATCTCATTTGATATGTGTGAGGGCTGTGATACTGCCCATGTGCCCAAACCGAAGCAGGTAGTTTTCTTAGGGGGCCACATCCCGAGCCTTCGACCTAAGGGTCTGATCCATAAGGCAGTGGAGCATCGTAAGGAGATGTAGTCCCATGGTAGCCGGTGAATAACGATTGGTTCATACGCCATTTGTTCCTTCAGGATACTGGAGCCCATGTACACCATCGATTTGGGATCCGGTTATAGCGCCGGACATTCGCTTTTCGTCCTCTCATTTTTGTAAACAACACCCCCGCCACGAGAAGGCAGTGAGTAGGACTTCCCTGGCAGAGGCTATATACGCGTGACCATGTGAGAGCATTTCGAGAGGAAGAGTGGACTCTCCCCACTCTCGGCCGTACCAGGGCATTCGGGGGCACTTTTCCGCTAAGGTCGAACACAATTATATCTCAATATACTAAATGTTTATATGGACATAATTTCCATATATTATTGACCAAACTTTGAATATATTCATGGAGGACCCTTAGTCCAATCGGTTAGAGCATCGCACTAATCACTCGAGTGTCGAGTGTTCGTTCGCTTTTAGAGTTCAATCCTTTGCTCTAAACACTACAAAAATCCCTATGATTATAGGCCTCTGTCAGAAATCTTCTACTCTCGTCCTTCATGTGATGGGACCATTCTCTTACGAAAATAAGACAATGGAAAGAGAAAGTTTGGCGCTTCACATGGGTTAGTGGATATACAGAGTTCACCTGGAGTGATTGAAAAACCTTGGTTCCGAACCAGTAGTGTAACATAGACTTCAGGACCGTGAGGAAACGAATGGTTCATAAACCGACTTACTGTAGTGTGTGCTACTGATTTCGACAGATATAAGTAATATGTATTATGAATTGGAAGTGAAATGTCTGGCGGTAGAAGGTTAAGAAGATTAAAGTAAATGGGACAAGGACAGAGAATGACTGGTGTGGAAACGAAGGGACAATGAAGTCTGAGATAGCTGATTGACATTTTGCAAATAAAGTATTTACTGTATGGTCCTCAGATTTTACTAAGATGTTCTGTAATTTTGTATTCAAATACATTTGGTTGTCTCCAATTGTGTTCTCGTTCATCATATTACTGTACATGGATTTTCCTTATTTAGTCATTTATTTCCTTCGCATTTGTCAGCTTTCTTCTTTTAGATGTGCCAAGATAGAACTGTCTGTTGTTTTTATCTGGCCCTTCATAAACCAAGCTGGGAGATGTTCACTCATTCGTTGGTTAAGTTGCCTGGTAGTACACGCGATATAGTTATCTCCACAGGAGCAGCTAAATTTGTAAACGCACATTGAGGAGGCCAACTCAGGTAACTTATCCTTCGTTTGAGTAGACATCGATGGTCGAATCGAGAAAGTTAACGCAAGATTGGCTGCGTAGAATGTCCTGCTAATTACTTTCGCTAGCTACTTCCCCATTGAATTGTAGTTTCAAGTATAAAGGCTTCTCTCGAAAAGTCGAAATCTCCGACTTCTTCTTTTATATTATACATGTGCTTCTTAATAAACGCACTGGGGTAGCCGATCTCGGTCATTGAGTTGTTGATTAATTCCAACTCCTGACTTAAAGTATCTACTGAACAGATCTTTTTTACTTTGCTAGTGAGACATCTAACCAAATCTCTCTTGTAACTGATAGGTGTAAAAATATAAAAGTGAGTATATTGGCAGGAAGAGGGACTTTTTCTGTACACGCTTCTTCTTCACGAGCCATCACTTCGCCCACTTAGCGTGTCGTTAAGGAAATTCAGCTTTTTGTCACACTCGCCTTTACCAGTGAAACTGATCACCGTGTGTACACTGTTGAATTATTCTAGGAGTTTTTCCTTACTGGTGTTCTGATCTACGATAATGAATGCGTCGTCGATGTAACGGCAATATCGATCAAGCTTCTTAATAGCCTCATTAAGTGGTCCATTTTCTGGCTTTGTTTGGAAGAGATCAGCTAGAATCGGGCCTAGAAATGAGCCCATAGTTATCCCGTCTATTTGTCTATAATAAATATTGTAGAAGACAGAATGGACATTCAGCGTACATCTTAAGAGTAGCAGGGCTCACCCCTAGACCCGACTCTAGTTGATCTCTTCCAAACAAAGCGAAAAAATGGACCATTTAATGAGGCTATTAAGAAGCTTGATCTATATTGCTGTTACATCGACGACGCATTCATTATCGTAGATCAGTTCTATTTTGGCACATTTAATTGATAGTGGTCATAAATCGAAATCATTTCGAGTGATCCATCATAAATTTTCTTTGTTTCTTTTTCTTATTTTAGGAGAAATTGCAGTAGCTCATTCTGATCGTGTTGTTCGATTATATTCATGGTGTTCATTTAAACCAACTGATGATAAATCTAAAACATCATCAAATAAAGTATCAAATTTAGGCGAATTTATCCTATTAATAAAATGGGAATTAGCTGGTCAGGTAAATTGTTTATACAAATGTGATTGTTTTATTTTGTTTAAAATGAGACAATTGATTTTCTTGGAACATAGGTATCCTCTTACCCGATAGTTATAGTTATATAATATACCTTTGTGGGCCAGGGTAATTTTACATTGGTTTTCAAGAAAACTGGATACCATCTAGACTTTCACGTGACAACCCAAACAGTACAGCTCAATCTTGCTTCACAGGAGAATCAGACACCGTCTAGGCTTTAACACTACAATCTGAATAGTACAACTCAATCCTGTGGCGCAACCACACAGATACCAAGCACCCTGGTGGACCATTCGCACCATTCATATGCACATTCACACCACATGTATAGTTATTCCGACCAATGATAGCGTGAATCAATTATGCACAGCATGAACAGGCCAAAGTTGACCCATTCCGCTTACACGACAGTCAAACTCAATAATGTTAGTAATGGCGACATGCCTTAAAATGTCTTAATGACAATGGCCCTTGAGAACACTAAAAATCAACTACCTCTTACTCGATGCTCGACTATAATTATATTTCTTGAAATTGTAGTGGCGTTTTATACTGTTAACTGTAAAAGTGTGTAAACCTTGTGAATACTGCTTACTTAAATATTATTAGTCTGTTCAGAGCTTATAGTTTGCCGTTATCAGAATCTTTATCTTCAAGATTTACCACTATTTCCCCTTTTATTTGACTTCATTATAGATATCTCCTCAAAAAATCACACTTTCTTCATTCAACTTTCCAGCCCTTAATCTTTCACCCTACATACTTACTTACACCTGTTATTCGTCGTGGAGGAGCACAGGCCGCCCACCAGCACTCTCCATCCAATCCTGTCCTTGGTAATCCTTTCCAGCTCTTTCTAGTTGTTATTCATCCTTTTCACATCTGCTTCTATTTCCTGACGTAATGTGTTCTTTGGTCTTCCTATTTTCCGATTCCCTTCAAGGACTCCATAGTGTCGAAAAAGTTTCCACAATGTTCTCCTATCTACACTGTCCAACGCCTTTTCATAGTCAGTGAAGTTGATGTAAAGTGACGAGTTCCACTCAACTGATTGTTCGATGATGATCCGTGGTGTCGCAATTTGGTATGTGCACGACCGATCATTACGGAATCCAGCCCGTTGATCTCGAAGTTGGGCGTCTACTGCATCTTTCATCCGGTTAAGCGACATTCTGTTAAAGACTTTCCTTGGCACTGACAGTACTGTGATGCCTTTGTAGTTTTCACATTTGCTCAGATCTCCTTTCTTCGCAGTCTTGATAAAATGTCCTTCTTTCCAGTCCTTCTGCACTTGTTCCTCATCGCAAATCTTCCACCCTCCCCCCGAGAAATCATTAGCCGTCATCGAATACGTTTGGATTACATTTCTCATATTCACTATACTAGCTTCTGTCTGTAATGTCGGTAAAATTTCAAAAAGCTTGGTCGGTGTTTGCTAATATGTACTAATTATGGAGTAGGCAATTATCTTGACCAATTGTTTGAATTTTAGAGTGTAGTGGCTCAAAACCACAGTAGCACAGTTAAATTCACTCATAATTCATTTCTTAATTGCAAGTTCTAGTACTCTTTCATACATAATTCCATCTTCTAGAACCATATTTCCAGTGTTAGTTTTTCTAATTATCACTACTAATACAATCATTTTAATCTCATACCTATTCATTTTGTGATTTTTTTTTACGCTTTTCGCTGATGTTGCATGACAACATGGGCTAAGATGCATTTGTTCTAGGCTCTTTATTAACTGTGACTGAACAATTTAATCAATCAGAACTTTGCGGTATTTTGAAATCATTGATCAGATGCTAATTACCAATTAAAACAAATTACGATCATGATTTATATTAGCGCAATATATTTCGAACAATCTGATCACACATATACTTGTTAAGAGCATTTATATATCAGTCAGTCAGTAACAACGTGGAACTTCGTACGTACGTACATCAGTTCGAGTTGCCATACCACATTAGCACAGAGATTCAGTTATCGATTCAAATCCCGTAGTGGTAGAGGTTGTGATAAATAAATACAAATAAAAGGTCAACTAGCCTGGAAATAGGGTAAGAGGAGATAAAGATGATAATAATAACAATGAGTAATAATAATAATGTGAACACAATTCAAAACCTAATCACTCTGGATAATAAGTCAATATTACCAGGGTAGGTGTTTAAAGTGAAAACAAACTGTTTTCGAATACACAAAGGGGGTTTGAATTTTCGTATGGCTAAGGCTTTAATAAACCTTAGTATACACCGTTTTACACTTTTATACAATACCACAAAAGTTGAGTTTAGATCAATCTTATGGCCTGTTTCAATTATATGTTTAGCAATAGAGGATGATGGATGTTTATCCTCTGCTCTTATTGGGTCACTTGATTGTATTTGTTTCTGCAACCATTTAGATACATATTCACTCACCCTAATGTTGAGATCACGATTGCTCCGCCCTATGTATATGTGACCACACACATACACATTTAAATTGGCAAACACAGTGGGATGTGACACAATCGTTTTCATGTCTTTTAGGTTTTGAATGGAGCATGCACCTTGTTCTTTCTTTGATAATGACCTTTGCTGCGCAGTACGTTTTGCTGATGACTGATTTAAGTCTTTGTTTCAATAACAGACTATTTGTATCACCTCTGAATAGTAAGGTGATGATGTTTTCACTTTAAACACCTACCCTGGTAATATTGACTTATTATCCAGAGTGATTAGGTTTTGAATAGTGTTCAGATTATTTTTATTATTATTATCCTTATCTCCTCTTACCTCATTTCCAGTCTAGTTGACCTTTATTTTTATATATAAATGCTCTTAACAAGTACATGTGTGATCAGATTGTTCGAAATATATTGCACTAATATATCACATAGTCCTGATAATCTCCATCTTCTCATTACATTATCGAAATTTATATATTTTTTAAATATCCCCCCACCCCATTAAACAATTTTTCTCCACCCCCAAACTACAATATTTTTCATCCCGTGTTTCATCCAATGAAATGGCTAGTTTTAAAAATTCGATTTAATTGGTTAGTTATGTCTTGAAAATTGTTATAAATAATCAGTACTTGTAGACCAAGTACATTTCAATCGTCATTTCGGAGGACAGTAACGTGCTAAGTACAAGTGCTGGTGTTTCTCACGTCACGGAAATGGAGGAAGTATTTTTGACAACCTTTTTTCTGGTTGCGTTCCCATCGGTTGAAGCGTTAAAGACCACTATCACAAATTTTGAAAGCTCGACTTACAGTCATTATGTAGTGAGAGATTCGTATATTAAACTTGTGTGTTGGAGAAATGGGCGTATAAGGTCTAGCGGTTCGTCACAGCGTATTAGACGGAGGAGGTAATTTGGTTAATGTTATTATAATTTGTTTCACGAAGGGCTTCCATGAACACCCAATGTCCGACCTTCATGTTTTGTAAGATTGTAGACGGCTACTGGACTGTCGTACGTGGGAATGTGCATCACAATCACGAGTGCAGTTCCCTGAGGTACCAAGGTAATTCATGGGTGTGTAGGTTAACGGATGGTGAGCTTGAAACTGTGAGACCGTTGCTGACATCTCGTACCGCAGCATTCCACATAAAGAATTTTGCTTACCAATCTTATGGGAAACGTCTGACTGATCAAGATGTCTGTAATATGCGGTATAAACTGTTCTCACACGCGAACCTTCCAGGTAAGCAATTTGCCAATTTATAATGACTGCTGAGCAATTGAATTGGGCTGATTACTTTAGTAACGTTATTGGTTTCGACGGGACGTACAAAACGAATAACCAGAACGTCCATTTAATCAAGTAGTTGCTCTGGACATGAATTTTAAGGCAATACCCATCTGCATTGCCTTTTTAAGTCATGAAACGTCAACATTAATTACAACGTTCCTGCGTTTTTTCGAATGGTGTACCAACAATCGACACGTGGTAGGCATAGTGACCGACTCACTTGCAATAGCTTCTGCTATCACGCAGGTGTTTCCGAATGCCCACCATATTCTGTGTCGCGTACACCTCTTTCGGAATGTGACAAAGAGGGTAAGTGGACAGTTTATTTACATCATCTCATTAACCGTTTATGTAGAGGGTTGGATCAGAAATTCTGCAGCTGTTCTTTCGTCTTATGTTCACCCGAACGGTTGAAAGGTAAATCAAAGTTTGCATAACATTATTTTGTAGTTTTAACAACGTACTTTCCATAATAGAAATGTCTGACGGAACGTTTGGTAGATACGTCAGAGAACACCTTCTACCAAGGAAACACAAATGGGCCACTGCTCTTCGACCGCAAGCAACGCTTTTTGAACTGAACAATACGAACTTCGTAGAGACGAGTCACAGAGTGTTGAAGATGTATCACCTTAATCGGAAAACACCCGTGCTCAGATCAATTTTAAGTGTGCTGCTTCGTACTGGATATTGAATGGAAGCAAGATTACAGAAATATTCAACCGATTGTCGTAGGAAAGCGGACATTGATCGACTTGAAGAACGACTAACACCAGCTGCCTGTCAACTACTGAAGCGACACCTGCGCATTCCTATTACGCAGTCTGTATTGTCAGAAGAATCATTCATGGCAACGGACGCCACGGGAACGTACTGTGTACACGTCGATATTAGCCGTTGTTCGTGTCCATTCTTCATTGAAAACGGTTTACCATGCCGTCACATATTGACTTACTACGCACAAAGTAATACTGATGTGAACGTACAGTCAATCATTCAAATCAACAGCTCTTCGTTGTATAAACGGTTGTGTAACGTCAGTCGACGTTATTGGCTGGGCGTACAAATGCTGTTCTCCATGCAAATCCAACGGTGTTGTTAATAGTCTACCTACCAATAACGTCGACTGACGTTACACAACCGTTTATGCAACGAAGAGCTGTTGATTTGAATGATTGACTGTACGTTCACATCAGTATTACTTTGTGCGTAGTAAGTCAATATGTGAC